AGCCTGCTTGGGATTCTCTCTTTCTCTCTCTCTCTCTCTCCCTCCCTCCCCCTCCTTCTGTCTCTGCTCCTCTCCCGCGTGTGCTCACTCTCTCTCTCTCTGTCTCAAAATAAACCAAAAACAACAACAAAAAAATCATCTTCTACTTACACTATGAACAGGCTGGTAGAATTGGCTGAAAGATTCTGTATGCAGAGAGCGCTTAATTTTTGACCCCTGAGAATTTCCATACTCGTCCCGTCATAGGATGCTAATGTGGCACTGGGTAGATCTCTTCAAGATATATCTGTAGGATGATAAAGCACGTATCTGAAGCATGGTTATGAAAACATCTGTTTGTTTTTTAGCATCTCGCAAAAAAGGCTGTGTTTTATCCAGTGCAACCTTTTTAAGTGACGGCGGTATTCTTCGTGCCATCTGCTCCAGCACTTTTAAAATATTTTAAATTATAACATGCTTTTCTGAATCACTCCCTTGACTTTAATTTTTGGCTCAGTGTTACAGTTTGTCGGGGATAAAAACCACGGACGGGTTTCTGGGGTGAGAATTTCCAGAGGAAGATGATACATCTGCATAGTCACCGTTTGTAAGAAAACTCGTAATGAATGTGGCATAGAGATTTGAGCGAAAGGTGTTCTTTCTGTGCTTCAAGAACACCGGCCCCTGTTGCTCTTCTTTCTGGGAGGAAGGCTGGACGCTCAGCGTGAGTGCCAAGGCCCGAGCAGTGGGGCCCTTGCCAGGGGGAGAACCAGCTTGAAATGGTTTATGATGGTCAGGGTGAGCTGGACAGGAATCTGAAATCACGGGACTAGGACGCCGTTTCGGCACCTGCGTCCTACGGTTTGCTGGGGGTGGGGGGAGCGGGTGGGGAGCAGTGCCAGCCCAATGGTAGTGGGATGACCAGCTGCCTAAAAATCAAATTTAAAAACTTTACTTTTAGAATATGATTCCGTTCCTCCCTGCAAAGCCGGCAATGGATTGATATTCCCCTTACAATTCACTGTCACTCAACATTTCCGAACCATGCCCTCTGGGCTTGTGCGTGTGAGCTGGAGAAGCCACAGGCGGAAGAGGGGTTGCGTGTTTGCAGTGTGGTACTTGCTAGGTCGTTACAGGAGCGTGTGTGTGGCGTGTGCGTGAGTGTGCATGTGTGCAGCTGTGCGTGTGTGCGCGTGTGCATGTGTGCAGCTGTGCGCATGTGTGCGTGTGCATGTGTGTGCAGCTGTGCGTGTGTGTGCTGCTGTGTGCACATGTGCATGTGTGCGGCCTTGAACGTATATGTGCAGCCGTGTGTGCGTGGCCGTGTGTGTGCATGTGCTGCTGTGCGCGTGTGTGTGCAGCTGCGTGCATGCATGTGTGCAGCTGTGTGCGTGTGTGTGCTGCTGTGTGCATTGTGCGTGTGTGTGCAGCTGCGTGCATGCATGTGTGCAGCCGTGTGCGTGTGTGCTGTTGTGCGCATTGTGCGTGTGTGTGCAGCTGCGTGCATGCATGTGTGCTGTTGTGCGCATTGTGCGTGTGTGTGCAGCTGCGTGCATGCATGTGTGCTGCTGTGCGCATTGTGCATGTGTGTGCAGCTGCGTGCATGCATGTGTGCAGCCATGCGCGTCTGTGCGTTTGCGTGTGTGTGCATGTGTATGCACGTGCATGTGTTCTTACTGTTCCCCTTTTTCTGAACTAGAGACCCGGATTCTAAAGTTCACACGGGACAGCACAACAGCAAGAGTAGCAGGAAAGTTCTGTAAAAGAAGAGTATTAAGGAGGGAGTAGTCCGACCCGATATTAAAACATACTTTTAAAGCTATGGAAAATTTTTTGTTTTCATAATCTTTCCCTTTTCTGGCACAGTTTTGAGGTCAAACAGACCTACGATCAATTGCATTTAGTGCGCACGAGGCCCACAGCACGGTGACATGTGTGCACCTGTGAGCCTGTCTCCCGTGTGCAGACGCATGTCTCCATCCATCACCCTGAAAGTCTCCTCTGCCCCTGGCCATCCTCCCTCCGTGCCACCCTGCCCCCGAGCATTCACCAGTCTGCTTTTTGTCGCTGTCAAGGTTGTAGGAGTTAAAGGTCATTGTACAGATACAATGAGCAGATAACGGGACACGTTAGAAAGTTGGACGTAGACACAGTAAATAATGGAAATTTGTCTTATGGTAACGATGGCATTTCGCATCAGTGGGGAAGAGAGGAATTATCCAGTAGAAAATGTTGACAGTTAGGTAAGCATCTGGGAGAAAAATAAACCCCAGTTGAATGTGTGCCTCAACCAAATCTAGGGCAGATTGGAGACTTAATATAAAAGAAATGGAACCCCAAATTACTAAAGGAACTTTAGGGCAGTTTTTATAGCCTCCTATTGGGGAAGGCTTTCCTAAATTTGTTTCCAAATCCAGGAGCCATTTGTGGGAAAAGATTGAGAAATACAATTTTTTTTTAACGTTTATTCATTTTTTGAGAGAGAGAGACAGAGCATGAGCAGAAAAGGGGCAGAGAGGGGGAGACACAGAATCCGAAGCAGGCTCCAGGCTCTGTGCTGACAGCTCAGAGCCCGACGCGGGGCTCAAACTCATGAACTGCGAGATCATGACCTGAGCCAAAGTCGGACGCTCAACCGACTGAGCCACCCAGGCGCCCCAAAGATGGAGAAATATAAAGGATTGCTAAATATAAAAATTTTTTCTACATGACCTAAGCTAACCATAGTGTTGAAAGACTGTGAAAATAATTGAAATTCATATCAGAGATAAAAGGCTAATTTCTTTCATGTAAAAATACTTCCTACAAATTGGTAAGAAGAGAAACGGGTTTGGTGGCCATACGTTCCCTGTGAATGTTTCCTAAACACATGAGATGTTCACGCCCCCTCAGAGGAGGGAGATACATGTTACAGTTACGAGAAAGCATCTGTTAGCTGTCATGTTGACAGCGTCCAGAGGTGAGTCCCCTGCGCGGTTGGGGCTGGCCCCGCAGACACTGACGCACCCTCCATGGGGGCTGTGGACAGTAGCCAGCAAGGGTATGTGCATGTGCCCTCTGCCCGGCTGTCTCCAGTCCAGGGCTGTAGCTCAGAAATGAACCTGCATGTGTGTGATGTGACGTGTGTCCCAGCAGAAGACAGCGTGACGAGGGGCCTGGGGAGGGGCTCTGAGTGTGGGTGTGTGATGGGAGGCAGTCAGGGGACAGGTTCGGGTGGTGGTGGTATCGTGTGCAGGCCGCAGGTTCAAGGCAGGGCGGTACATTTCAGGAGGGAGTTGTGGATACGTGTGGGGGGGTGCTGGGGGTCGTGTCTTCAACAGAGGTGTTAACCAGCATTGTCCATTCACACCGTTGTCTTCACAGCTGCACCGAATCCTCGTGGCAAACTTGGGGGTCATCTCTGTGTTGCAAAGAAAGCCTGAGGCACAGGGGTTCATTGCCTTCCCCACGGCCACACAGCTGAACCGCCCCTTTGTTCGCCAGGTTTATTTATTCAGTACCTGTCTGTTGGTGAAAATTTCTAGGATGATTACCTGTCTGGGGCCCTGGGCAGGGAAGACCATGGCTGCAGAGTGATGGGGTTGGAGGGGGCATCTCACTTGGGAAAGTTTCTTACTGTCCGTGAGCGGGAAACGGAGCCCTGGCCTGGGGGCCAGGGGCTGGGGAGGAGCCGGGGCTGCGGAGGCCAGTTGAGGGAGGGAGCGGCTCCCGCTGCCTTCACATGCCCAACAGTGTCCGGTGCCGTGTCCTGCTTTTGGTCCCTGAGTGTTTTTTTCTGCTGATGCCGAAAAGTAAAAAATACTTTGGGAGCCTGGTTTTGTGCGCCAGCGCCCTCTGAGAAGCTGAGGCTGCAGGTGCGCGTCCCCAGATGCCCTGAGCGCAGAATTCCACGTCTGTCTCAGGGGCCGGCCTGCCCACCCGCCCTTGGGTGGAACACTGCCCGCCCACTGCCCTGTGTTCAGGTGCTGTGTTACTTTCAAAATACTTCCCCGAGTTCCTCTTTCATGTATTTTTGACTTGTTTTCTTTTGCCCCCTGAGGGGTAAGGGATAAGATAGGAACCCAAGTTTCTGCTTATTATGTAGAATAGATTGAAGTAGCTTGCCCTTGCCCTTGCCCTAGAAAAGTGGAGGCTTTTGTGTGTGTTTTTGGGTTTGAATTACGTAACAGAAATCGTCGCATTGTTTATTCCTTTTTTCTCTCTAACCAGAACACGGGGTCTGTAATGAGCCTTCGTGACTAGCTAAGTGACTACAAGGACTTGGAGACCTGACACTGAGAGCCCCTCTGTGAGCCGGCCGTGGTGAACTGAGGCCAGCCGCGTGGGGCTCCACCTGCTGACCAGCTCGCCTGTCTCTCTGCAGATGAATGTGTCACCTGCTTCTCTGGCCAATCTTTACGAAGAGAATTTTAAACAAGACATGGCAGCCTTGAAGGTAAAGCATGTTGTTGAGTCCTCTCACCACAAGGGGGTGCCATGAGCGGTGAAAGCCAGCACAGTGGACCTCCACTTTTCACCCGCCAAAAGTCACTTCTCCTTTGCCTTCCGTCAGGTTCTCCCCCCGACGGTGTACTTGAGGGTAACTGAAAATATTCCTCACATCATTTCTTTCATCGAAGGAATAATTGCTAACGGGCATGCTTATTCGACAGCACAAGGTAGGGTTATGCTGCTTGAACTGATCATTGGGGAAGCGCCTGTAGGGTTTGGAGGAACTGGACGCGTGTGAACGACTTCCTGGAGTAAGCCGGATGGTTTACTGTCTTTCTTGAGGTGATTCCTGTGTGAAACGTGAGATTTTCTTATGGTTATTGTACCTCTTGGCGAAGCTGTCGAATCCGTTCTTTTTTAAAGTATTTTCCGTGGTCACAGGAAGACACGAACATCTGGAGAGCTCACCTAGATAAAGCAGTTACCGCGGCTGGGTGGCAGGCATACAGGTGTTCTTTCGAGCCCTTTTAGAGTGGTTGCAATTTTCCATGACAAAAAGCTGGGGACGAAAGCCGTACCCTTAAAGTTGCACATTTTGTTAAAGACTAGCCCTCTGACATTTTTCTCTGTGTGCGGGTGTATGTTTGAGGGGCCAGCGAAATCGGGCTATGGACATCCTGACCCTCCCACGTGCACCTCTGAGTAAGAGAGCACCCCACATAACCCGGGTCGTTATCCTACCGAGGTGCTGGACAGTCCCTACCGCATCCTGTCCTCCGCATATTCACGCCCTGCATTTGTCCCTGCCTCCCCCAGCCTGGTCCCCTGCTGGCCGCCCACTGCCCGGGACTGTGCCTTCTGTCTGTGTTACCACTGGTCAGCTGTTTGGGGGGGGCCCTTCCTCTGGCTGTGTGTGTGTGTGTCCCTCTGGCCGAGGTCTCCTGTCCTGGGAACTTTTCTCCTGGCATTTCTGTCTCTGGGATGTCCTTCACTCTCAGCTGCACCCCCTCCCCCTCCCCCCGGTCCTTCCTGATCCAAGTCCCACCTGTCCTGGACCCCCCAACCAAAGCTTTCTCCCTCCCAGGACGCTGCTTCACCGCTCGTGGTGGAAAGCGGACTTCGGCCCTGTTCTGGTGCCGGTGCTGTGTGGTTGGTAGCCGGGCACGTGCTGCCTGAACTTGCTGGTCACGCCCTTGTGTTTTGTCACTTTTTGTCACTTCTGGGGCCACAGGAACCTTGTGCTGTTAATGAATGACCCACCAGCACGCCCAGCCTGGGGCTAGGAGAAACGGGTATTGCGACGCTTGTTGCAAGTAAATAACAAGTTAAGTCACAGACTGTAAGGCCTGAGGGTGGACACAGCTTCTGCAGGTCACTGGACTTACTGGCCGGAAGCATCCTTCTTGCAGGGGTCTTGGTGGGAGCACAGACCCACGTGAGGGGCCCCGGGTCCCCCAGGTCCCCGGACCGTGCGCTGCCTCTCTCGGTAACCTCTGCGTACACAAGAGCATGCGTTTTTGGTTTTGTTTTTCCTTTACCTTATTTAGATTTTGTTTCCAAGAAGAACTTGTTTTTAAGGGGCTTAGGGGACTGAACTGGAGTTTGCTCCAGAAAATACAAGAATTGTTTCCCTGTTGCCACCCTGTGACGTGGAGTGGGACGCACCACCCGGAGGGCAACCCTCACGAGGGGCAGAGGCGCTCATCCGAACGTGCTTTATCATTTTATTACTATGCTTTATTGTCAGTTTTTAATAATGACAGCGTAAATGTAATGAAGTCAAAGTAAATTGACGTTAACTCAAACTCCATTAATTTGAACTTTTCAACAGTTCTGTAAAATCTCGGTTGTAATTTGAATTTTGAACTCTTTGAGGAAACAGTTCAGCAAATCGGTAACATGAGCGAAGGTGAGGAGAATTGTCTCCTTTTTGAGAGCGTGTTGACGTTCTGACGTGGTGGACAGCAGCTCCCAGTGTCCCTACTTACCTCCGGCGTAGCTTGGGCTCCGATATGAGCTCTGGGAGAAGGGGACAGGCCGGGGCAGCGCCCAGCCACCCAGGGCCCTTGTGCCAAGTCCTTCCCCGCCCCACCCCCACCCCCAGTCAGGATAGAGATCTGATGTCACAGTCCCGGCTGCTCAGCATGGGGCTCCTTCCTGCGGGGAGGGGGGGGTGGGGGGGGTGCTCCAGCACCCGCTTCCCCCTCGTCCATCAGGGTGCTCGAGTGTGGAGGTGTTTGGGCTCCAAGTGAAGAGATGGTCGTAGACATATCTGGGTCAAGACGGGTTTTTTGTAGCCGCAGAGCCCAGAGCTGAACGCAGGCCGCGATAACACTCCCTTTCCCCTCTCATGAAAAAGAACCATGTCGTTTGACGTAGATCTTACACTTGGGTTTTCACACCCACTCTGGATGTTCGTGATGTGTGCAAATGCGTGCTCTTACGAAATAGTGGTGGTGGCATGAATTCTGAGTTAGAGACAGAACAAAGGGGCCACGTGAAGGCCAGATGCCAGATTCTGAGTTTGAGTCCTAATTACCGGTCAGCTCCCAAGCCCGTGTAGATGCTGATACTTAAGACTGAGAAATGATGAATTTCTAATTACCTTTGTAAAACAGGCAACGTCTACTTCGATCTGCGGTCAAGAGGAGACAGGTACGGCAAGCTCGTGGGTGCGATCCCCAGTCCCACCGCAGAGCCAGGTGGGTGCACACACCCCCTCCCCTGTACTCAGCCTCCCCCTCCCCTGTGCTCAGCTTCCCCCTCCCCTGTGCTCGGCCATGGTGATGGCGCCAGACCGTCCATCCCAGCCGTGCTGTGCATTTAAGTCCCTATTTTCTAAGAGAGGAAATTTGTGGAGTATGAGGTTCACACGGCAAGTCGTGAGTCTCCCCCAGCCCTTCCCCAGAGAGCACACGTTCACGGTGTCCCATCTCCCCACTCTCCTCTGCCTTGCTGGTGTGTTCAGTTCCACGTGTACTTGGCCATACGTTACATCCCCGTAGGTATTTTACCATATAGTACGTTCCTAGGGGATTTTAATCTCTTCCTGCAGTCCCTTCTGTTCCAGTGACTGTTAGAATGAAGCTATTTTTGTGGAGAAGAAATGTGTATAGAGAAGTAAATTTAAAATAATTTTAGGGGCGCCTGGGTGCCTCAGTTGCTTAAGCATCCGACTCTTGATTTTGGCTCAGGTCATGATCTCATGGTTCGTGGGATCGAGCCCCGCGCTGGGCTCTGTGCCGATGGCACGGAGCCTTCTTGGGAGTCTCTCTCTCCTCTCTCTCAGCCCCTCCCCTGCTCTCTCTCTCAAAATGAACAAACTAAAAAAAAAATAAAAATAAAATAATTTTAAAAGGATACTATTTAAAAGCACCAAATAAAAACAAGCAAAATCTCAAAAGACAAATTGTCCAAGTCATTTCTGTCTTAAGGCATTATCCTCTGCTCTATAAACAATGCCATTTAAATTTAATTACTGACAGTATTATTTGACTCCTCAGAAATGGTGTCTGTTACTCTTAGTAGTATCCTGCTCCCCTTCTGAAAGGCCAGAACCGAGGACCGCTGGACTGGCCACACGTGTTCATATGCGGTGTGCCCCTTGGAGTCAGAGGACGAGCCTCTGAGACACATGTTCTAGCATCAGCAACGCTTTTGTGTTTTGATAGACTTTATTTTGGGGGGCACTTATAGACTCACAGCAAAACCGAGGGGAAGGAACAGAGATTTCCCACATTCCCCTGCCCCTACTTGTGCACAGCCTTCCCCATTATCAGTGTCACCCACCGGAATAGGACATTTGTCATAGTGGACCTGTGTTACACATCATCACCCAGAGCCCATGGTTTAACATCAGGGTTCACTCCTGGTGTCGTACATTCTTTGGAGTTGGGCACATGTGTAATGACACGTATCCACCATTGTGTTATCACACGGGGCCACCTCCCTGCCCTCAGACCCCTCCCTGTGCTCCACCTGTCCGTCTTCTATCCCTCCTGACCCCTGGCAACCAAGGATCTTTTATCATCTGCATAGTTCAGCCTTCTCTAGAATGCCATAAAGTTGAAATCATACAGTCTGTGACCTTTTCAGACTTTTTTTTCACTCAATACACATTTAAACGAAAATGTGCATTTAAGCCACTAGGCCCCACCAGGATGTGGGCAAGGGCAGAGCCCCTTGGGGACAGGGGACTCAACTACCTTCCACGTCTCTTCATGGCTTGATAGCTCATTTCTTTTTAGTGTCGAGTAATATTCCACTGTCTGGATACAACACGGTTTATCCACTCACCTGTCAGAGGGAATCTTGGCCGCTTCACGTTTTGGAACAGAGAGAGAGCCCAGTAGTGGCTCATCGTACAACCTCGTGTTATCTCCTGACCCTCCTCTTTGGGGTTTTCTTGCCCCTCCAATGTGATGGATATTCTGGTTTTTGGTGTATGGTTTTTGTTGTTGTTATTTTTCTCTATATAATTCTCTTTTGGGGGGAAAAGTTACCCTGAAACTCATTTGCTGGCAAGTACAGCTTTCTCACAACAAGAATAAGGCAGAGAGAGCTCAGCCCAGTGCCCCCCTGGGAAGAAGCCTCAGTGTTTGTTATTTGAAATCCCGACTCGTTCTGCTTGGTGGGAGCTGGCCTTAGCTCTGCAGTGAGATGTCACAGTCCAGCATGTTTTAGATAAAAGCGTTGGGTAGTCCTTCCAGTGGCCACCTGGGGAGAGAGACCCGTGAATGAGAGATGTGAGGTCACTGATAGGAAGGCACAACATCTTTGGGATGTGCCTCCTGCCTCCGTCTGGTGGCGGTTGCTGTGTGGGTTTGCCTGTTGTAGATTCTCGCCCCTGATCGGTCACTTGATCTGTTGGCAGTTGATTCTGACAAGCGGCACCCCAGCGACTTTGCCCTGTGGAAGGCAGCTAAACCCCGGGAGGTGTTTTGGGCCTCTCCTTGGGGAAACGGGAGACCTGGCTGGCACATCGAATGTTCCACCATCTCAAGGTAAGGTTTTGTGTTGCCGTGCTGGCTCACACAGTGCCCAACTTGGCTGGCACAGGGTGTGGGTGTGGACAGTGGGGACCATTCCGGGGCTTGGGAGGAAGGCTCTGGGCTCCAGAGGAAGGGACCAGCCGTAAGAAGGGAAACCAAACCCCGTCCAGTCTTAGCACCTGTTCTTTTTAGTGGAAAAGCCAGCCGTACAGGTCGGTTCTGGATTTCCCGTCACACACTGGACACTTCCAGGTGCCCCTTTGTCTTTCCTCTGCTGTGGGTTTGGGGTGGGCCCCTCAGGGACAGGGCACTAGACCACCTTCCTCTTGATTTTCTCCTTTTTTTCTCTTTCATTTTTTTATCTTAGTTCCGGTATAGTTAACATGCCGTGTTCTGTTAGTTTCAGGTGCACAACGTGGTGATTCAACAATTTCGTACTTTATTCAGTGTTCATCACTATGAATGTACTCTTAATCCGCACCCCCTATAACCCCCATCCCCCGCCCACCTCCCCTCTGGTGGCCATCAAGTCTCTATAGGGTTAAGAGTCTTTCTGGGTTTGTCTCTTCTCCTTTGTTCATTTTGTTTCTTAAATTCCACACATGAGTGAGATCATAGGTATTTTTGTCTTTCTCTGACATATTTTGCTAGCCTTTATTACGCTGTCTAGATCCATCCATATTGTTGCAAATGGCAAGATTTATTCATCGGCTGAATACTATTCTGTCGTGTGTGTGTGTGTCTGTATGTATGAGTATATATATATGTATGGGTGTACATATGTATGTATCTATATACAAAATATACAAAACACTTTCCTTATCCATTCATCTATTGATGCACACTAGGGCCGCTTCCATAGTTTACCTCTTATGAATAATGCTGAATAAACATAGGAGTGCATGTATCTTTTTGAATTAGCGTTTTTGTATTTTGGGGGTAAATACCCAGAAGTCTGATGACTGGATCCAAGGGTAGGTCTATTTTTAACTTTTTGAGGAGCCTCCATACTATTTTCCACAGTGGCTGCACCAGTTTGCATTCCCACCAACAGCACATGAGGGTCCCTTTTTCTCCACCTTCTCGCCAACACTGGTTGTTTGTTGTATTGATGATTTTAGCCATTCTGACAGGTGTGAGGTAATCTCGTAGTTTTGATTTGTATTTCCCTGATGATGAATGATGTTGAGCATCTTTTCATGTGTCTGTTGGCCATTTGGATGTCTTCTTTGGAGAAATGTCTGTTCACTTTGGCCCATTTTTCATTGGATTATTTGGGTGGTTTTGTGTTGATTTGTATCCATACTTTTTCCTTCCTCCTCCCTCCCTCCCTCCCTCCCTCTTTCAAGTAGACTTCACACCCAGCATGGAGCCCAACACAGGGCTTGAACTTATGATCCTGAGATGAAGACTTGAACTGAGATCAGGAGTCAGACGCTTAACAGACTGAGCAACCCAGGCATCCCTGAGTTGTTTAGTTCTTTATGTATTTTAGACACTAGCCCTTTATCTGATATGTCATTTGCAGATATCTTCCCCCATTCAGTATGTTTTCTTTTAGTTTTGTTGATTGTTTCCTTTGCTGTACGGAAGCTTTTTATTTTGATGAAGTCCTAATAGTTTATTTTTGACTTTATTTCCCTTGTCTCAGGAGACATATCCAGAAAGATGTTGCTACAGCTAATGTCACATCACTGCCTGTGCTCTCTAGAAGGATCATTACGGTTTCAGGTCCCACATTTAGAACCATCATCCATTTTGAGTTTATTTTCGTGGATGGTATAAGAAAGTGGTTGTTTCATTCTTTTGTATGTAGCTGTCCAGTTTTCCCAACACCATTTGTTGAAGAGACTGTCTTTTTCTCTTTTTCTTGCATATTCCTGTCTTCTGTGTTGAAAATTGACCATAGAGTTGTGGGTTTATTTCTGGGTTTTCCATTCTGTTCCATTGATCTGTGATGTCTGTTTTCACCAGTACTATGCTGTTTTCATTACTAATACAGTCTACAATTGTGATATCTCCAGTTTTTTCTTTTTTGAGATTGCTTTGGTTGTTTGGGGTCTTTTGTGGTTCCATACAAATTCTAGAATTGTTTGTTCTAGCTCTGTGAAAAATGCTGTTGGTATTTTGATAGAGGTTACAATAAATGTATAGATTACTTTAGATAGTATGGACATTTTAACATTTGTTCTTCCAATCCATGAGCATGGAATGTCTCTCTTTTTAAGTAAGTTCTATGCCCAGTGTGGGGCTTAAACTCACAACCCCCCAAATCAAGAGTTGCGTGCTCTACCAACTGAGCCAGCCAGTTTTGTTTTTTTGATGAGTCTGGCCAGAGGTCTGTCAATTTTTCTGATCTTTTCAAAGAACCAGCCCCTGGTTTCATTGATGTGTTCTCTTGTGTGTTTTTTTTGTTTGGTTGGTTGGTTGGTTTTGTTTGTTTTTTAGTTTGTATATCATTTATTTCTGCTCTAATCTTTATTGTTTCCTTCCTTCTGCTGGTTTGAAGTTTTGCTTGTTCTTTTTCTAGCTCCTTTATGTGTAAGGTTAGGTTGTTCATTGAGATTTTTTCTTGCTTCTTGAGGTAGGCTCATGTTGCTATCAACTTCCCTCTTAGAACCACTTTTGCTGCATTCTAAAACGTGTGGACCATTGTGTTTTCATTTTCATTTGTTTCCATGTAATGTCATTGATTTCTTGGTTGATCCATTCATTATTTAATAGCATGTTATTCAATCTCCCTGTATTTGTAGTTTTCCCAGATTTTTTTCTTGTGGTTGATTTCTAGTTTCATAGTGTTGTGGTCAGAAAAGATACATGGTATGACTTTGATCTTATTCAATTTGTAGAGATTCATTTTGTGGCCTAATGTGTGAACTCCTCTGGAGAATGTTCTATGTGCACTTGAAAAGAATGTGTATTCTGTTTTAAGATGGAATGTTGTGAATATATCTGTTAAATCCATCTGGTCCATTGAAATGAGAGGGGTGTTAAAGTCCCCTATTATTGTGTTACTATCAATTAGCTCCTTTATGTTTGTTACTAACTGTTGTATGTATTTGGGTGGTCCCGTGTTGGGTTCATAAATATTTACAGTGACTATATCTTCTTGTTGGATCGTCTCCTTCATTATTATATAGTGTTCTTTGTTGCTCCAGTCTTTGTTTTAAAGTCTTTTTTGTCTAGCATAAGTATTCCTACCTGGCTGTCTTTTGACATCTGTTTGTATTATAAATGTTTCTCCATTCCCTCAGTTTCGTCTGAAATGAGTCTCGGGGTGCCTGGGTGGTTCACTCGGTTGAGCGTCCAACTTGATTTTGGCTCAGGTTATGACCCCAGGGTCATGGGATTGAGCCTCACATCAGGCTCCATGCTCAACACGGGGATGCTCTCTCTTTCTCTGAAATAAAAAAAATAAATAAAAAATAAAAAAAAGATTTGAAATGAGTTTCTTGTAGGCATCATATATAGATGGGTCTTATCTTTTTATCCACTATCACCTTATGTCTTTTGATTGTAGCATTTAGTTTACATTCAAAGTAATTCTTGATAGATATGTATTTATTGTCATTTTGTTACTTGTTTTGTGGTTGTTTTCATAGTTTTTCTCTGCTCCTGTCTCCTCTTTCATGGTTTGCTGGTGCTCTTTAGTGATATATTTGAATTTCTTTCTCTTTATTTTTTTGCAATCTATTATTGGTTTTTGATTTGTGGTTACCTCTAGGTTTGTTTATATTGTCTCCTGTATATAGCAGTCTATATGAGGTTGATGATCACTTAAGCTTTAACCAATTTTTTACTCTTAACCATGTTTTAGGTATATGGTGTCATACTTTACGTCCTTTTATTTTGTAAGTCCTTTGACTGATTTTTTATAGATATACTTATTTTTACTGCTTTTGTGTTTTTTCATTTTCACACTCTTAGTTTGGTCTTCCCTTTCTACTCAGAGAGTCCCCTTTAACATTTCTTACAGGTTTGGTTTAGTGGTTATGAATTCCTTTAGTTTTTGTCCAAGAAACTCTTCATCTCTCCTTTTATGAGTGATAGCCTTGCCAGATAGAGTATTCTTGGATGCAGGTTTTTTTCTTTCAGTACTTTGAATATATTATGCCTCTCTGGCCTGCAGAGTTTCTGCTGTTCTGAAAAATTCGCTGATAGCCTTATGGGATTTCCACTGTATGTAACTGTCTTCTCTTGCTGTTTTAATTTTTTTTTTATCACCATATTTTGCCATTTTGATTATTCTGTATCTTGGTGTGGACCCCCTTGGGTTACTTTCCTTGGGGGATTTCTGTGCCTCCTGGATCCAGATATCTGGTTCCTTCCCCAGAGGAGGGAAATTTTCAGCTATTATTTCTTCAGATAAATTTTCTGTCCCCTTTTCTCTTATTCTGGAATCCCTATAACGTGCTTGTTATTACACTTGACAGGGTTGCTGAGTTCCCAAAGTTTATCCTCATTTTGAATTTTTTTTTTTCTCTCACCAGCTCAGTTTGATTACTTTCTGTTGCTCTGTCTTCCGGGTCATTAATTAGCTCCTCTGCTTCCTCTAGCCTGCTGTTTATTCCACCCAGTGTATTTTTAGTTTCATGTATTGTGTTCTTCATCACTGTTTTTGTTTGGTTGTTTGTTTAATCTTTCTGTTAAGGGCCTCACTGACATCCTCCACTCTTTTCTCAAATCCAGTGAGTATCTTTACGATCCCTACTTTAAATTCTCTTTCAGATATAGTACTTACCTCTGTTTCACTCGGGTATCTTGCGGTTTTATCCTGCTCTTTCATTTCGGACATACCCCTCTGTCTCATTATATCAGCTCTCTGTTTCTAGGTGTTGGGAAAGTCAGCTATGTCTCTTGCTCTTGAAAGTAGTGGGCGGTATGCACTTTTAACTTTTTTTTTTTTTTCCAACGTTTATTTATTTTTGGGACAGAGAGAGACAGAGCATGAACGGGGGAGGGGCAGAGAGAGAGGGAGACACAGAATCGGAAACAGGCTCCAGGCTCTGAGC